TTTGTAATCTGAGAGCGATTTTGAAATGTTTCCCTTTTACTAGCTTTACTATTAAAAAGTACTGGAACAGACCGTATAATATAAAAAAAAATAGTAAAAACTAGCCGTACGGGAAGAGACCATATTTCAATTTAAAAAAGATGATTATATGGGGACTATGCCCAATATGGGGCGAATATATAATAAATTTTTGGGAGAGAGTTTTCTTTTGTGTTCTCTTAAATTTGGTTCAATGTTTAACAGTTTTGAGGATTCAGGAACGTTTTTCGCAAAAAACTTTTAGGTTCTGGAACGGAACTATAATAAAAAATTTTGATATCGTAGCATGGTATAATAATAGAAGGTAACAGCAAGTGTTGTTGTACAAAAAACGATACAACAACCACATGGAAATTTGTTGTTGTAAGTTCTACTAGTGTCAACTCATTTGACAGAAAAATGTAAACAAACGAACAAATTATCATCAAATTATTTTTATTTTGAAAATGAAATATTTTCGAATCCTCAGAATAAAAATTGAAAATCATGAATGAAAATCTTTGAAATTTATATTTCTATCGCTTCCACATCTTTCCTATAATTGAGCCATTGCCACATATATGTGTAACACATATGTATGAAAATCCAGGGAATAGCGAGTTATTCCATGAAGAAAGATTTGCTTCCTCAAACTTTCCCAGCATGCAGATTGAGTAAATTGAATACGGGAGCACATTTAATAAAGAACAATTTCAAATTGTATGCGTTCCCAATTTTCCTGTTGGGTGATTTTTAAAAACATAATTTGTCAAATTCATATTGACACTAGTATTACGATGGAATCAAATCAGCTGGGATTTGCTGTTACCTTTTATAATTGTACCATGATATCGTAGTAAAAAATAGTAGATTCTTGCAGTACGGGAACAGACAAATAGTTAACTAATTTGTTGTGATTTTTGGGTTTGTCTCCATATATTCGCATTCCACCATAGTATGGGAGTTATTCTGTACTCGAAATTGTAAGATTAAGTATGGAATTCTATGACGATTTAGTCGATTGAGCCATCTGTCGGAGGATATCGAGATAAAAAACTAGAACGGCATTTAGGCATAGCCCCTATATAAAAATACCTACCGATTTATTGTTTAGGGTAAAGGAAGGTATTTTCATACAAAACGAAAATGCTAGGTCCTCAATAGGCATATAGTGATAACTCCAAATGTTCGGTAATTCCTACACGATGTAATGTTAGAAAATAGTATTTTGAGGATTTTATACACATGTTTTACCCTAACATGTGTTATCTAAATCGGACCACGATTTGGGATTTTGAGATTTTAGGAAAAACTTCCATTAAAAAATGCTGAAATTTATATTTCGTATGCTTTTTTCACTTGTTTAATAATTAAATGGAATGAACTGTGGTTATTAAATTCGCACTTCAAGAAAAGCGCGTTTAAAGTCCTATAATATTTGCACATGTTAAAATAAATCCCCTACTGTGCAGTTTACTACAGTATTTATTCAATAGTATCTATACAATAGGTGGGCAAACAAGTCAATGATCTGCATTCATTGAGGGTTACGGTCGCTGATATATTTTCTTTCATTGCAATGAAAATAATCTTTTGCCACAATTTGGAGTAATTGTTATGCACTGTTTCCTTGTTTATTGTGGTTAATCGTGGATTTTATCTTATAAATGTTATGATTTTTTCGATTTTTTTTTCGCTCAAAGAGTATACAAATTATTTTGCGTATTAAACATTAGTTTAGAGTAACTTCGGGTAATGTGGATCAGGCGTCTAATGTGGACCACCCCCATATCTAAGAAAATGCTTAAAATATGTCAATGCCGCCTTGATAAATGTTTTCCTAATTAGTGAAAACAAAAATCAAGCTTGGATTTTAATAAATAATTGTAATGTTGAAAATTTAGTAGTAGAAAATGTAGCTCTGATTGTAAAAGTGTGATTTGAAAATTTTTTATCACAATAGTCGAACGTTTTTGCAATATAGTCGAACACATGGTTTTTCTCGAATATAAGGAAGTTATGTGGTTTTCTTTTATTCTTGAACAAAAATACACGTTTAGCAGTAATTATAATCGGTGATTTTTAATTTTTATTCATTTTTGAAGCCGGTAATTATTTTGAAATAAAAATATTCAATGTCGGGTAATGTGGACCACTATAAAAAAGAGGGACCTTTTCATGAGGACGAGTTCGAAACATGGGCGCATTTAATATGCGAGGTGGTATTCTATTCTCTGAAAACTCTATAAGCGAAATTGAAGGTGCTTCGGTTGGATAATGAAGCAAAGACCTTCAAAATACCGCAAATGGGGAGGTACCTTAAATGGGGGCTATTCCAAAACATTAACCCATATATTTTTGCATTCATTGTTACCCAAGAGTGCAATAAATGGAAATTTATCACAAGCAATCCACAACCTACCTTTAACTTATTGATCCTCATTACCCACACATACTGGTCCACATTACCCGCCAAATTATTTTTATTCGCAGTTTAGAGTTTCTTGAAATATAATACAATAACATTTTTATAGACAAATATAAATAATATTTGAAAACAATTTGTTTTTATTTTTTACCGTTGTTACGCCCACAATATCAAAAAAAAAAAAAAAAAAAATGGCGGTCCACATTACCCGAAGTTACTCTACTTGTTATAATATAATATAGTGTATTGACTGTCATCGTTCTGATATTTCGAAACCCTGAATTCAAGGCGCTGAAACTATACATCCTTAGTTTTTCGAAAACCATACAAAAAATTGCCAAAATATCGAAATTTGGGAGGTGCCATTATATGGGGGAGAATATAACATTTTGGCATATATTGGTATTAAGTTTTTCTTCTTATATATATAATTATATATATATATATATATATACATGCTTATGGGTCTACGACGATTATTTCGAGGTGTTCCAAAGGGAATGAAAAATTTAATATACTTTCCACCATGAACAATGACGAATTTGTGTAAGACTCGATTTATGTCGAAATTTTCCAGTAACAATGAGGGCGCAAATCGAGGCATTACTCTACTTCCAAATATCTATGGAAGGAAATGCATCTGTACAGGTACAAACAAATATAACTTGGAGTACCAAATATACATATTCACTGTGTTCAGAGACTTTGGGATTTTCTATCACGTTAACATTTTCTATCATAAGGTTAACAGGCAGGCGAATTCATGCCTTAGTATTCTCTTGCTGTCAACTTTTTAATCGCGAAATACCAACCAGAACAGGATAAAAACTCAAAACATCTTTCAGGAAAACGTAATGATAGTAATGTGCACAATTACATATTTTGGTTCGAATAACAATAACTTGTTGTTTATTTATTCTTTAAACAATAAATTTGACAGTCAATGAAGACTTCGAATTCGCCAACCTGGTAACACTATGAATAAACCTGTTAACCTTATGAATAAACAATTGACTGTCAAATTTATTGTTTAAAGAACAAATAAACAACAAATATTTTTATTCGAACCAAAATATCATTACGTTTTCCTGAAAGATGTTTTGAGTTTTTATCCTGTTCTGGTTGGTATTTCGCGATTAAAATGTTGACAGCATGAGAATACAAAGGTATGAATTCGCCTCCCTGTTAACCTTATGAATAAACATTGTTCAAGTCGAACATAATGATCGAAGTTCTGCAATGAAAAGGAAAACCAGGGGGAGAAGCTACCTATGTTAGAAGTATAAATGTTGAATAGATAATTATTGTTAAACCCTTACAGAATCACACTAATCTTTAATTAGGAGAATTCATGACGAACTTGGAGATAAAGCTTATCTAACTGAAGCGATGTGCAACTTATCTAATTTTAATCGTTCTGTATTACTCTGCTGGGAAGCGCATCATTATACATTAAGTAGTTTGCTACCTGTATACCGGCTAAGGTTGCGGGGTTAGTGATGATAGTGTTAGTTTTAATCCAGAGTCGTTTTTAAAAATATCTGTGTTTCAAATTTTCTTGACAGCTATTCAAATGAACAAATTGTGGCAGCAATAGGTATGTCGGCATATTTTCCCAGTAAAAATTACTCAGTAAGTTATTTTGTGAGAGTAACATTCTTCTTCAAACAATAAAATTGTAAAAAGTAAATAAGACAACAATTTGTAAAAATGTTCAAATTTGTTGAAAAATACATGAGTTGACATTTATATCTTTTGTTTTTTGTTTTGTTCAAAATAGGAAAAAACGGTTCATATTTAGTGCACCAAAGTCAATATATATCGTTCGATTTTCACGAAATTTGGCATAGGGTGGTAAGTTTCTGGAAATTCGGTTCAGATTTCGACATATATACATTCGACCGATTTTACATAAATGGTGCACCAAACTCCAAATGTTTGTCCGATTAACACGAAATTTTGCACAACGTATCAAATTGAGACTTGAATGACGTTATTGCGTTTGGTTGAAATTGGTGCAGATGCAGCTTCCATATGTATATCGAACGGATGTCTGATTGAAATTAAATGTTTAACAGTGTGGCGTACCGAATAGCGTGTATCAATTTAGCTATAAATCTTTTTCCATAAATTTGTCCCATAGTACACACACAACTCTAAATCTGCCCGAATGAAATTAAATTTATCATAGGTTGCAGAAAAACATGAGTATGATCCTTCGAGGGAACATTGACATGTAATTGTATGCACACATATGCACAACATACCCAAAGAGGCGAAGGGTATCGTAAAGTCGGCCCGTCCGACTTTACTACTTTCCTTACTGGTGTATATTGAATTGAATTTGTTTCAAAATAATTGTTAAGTAGTATTATTTTTTTTGTTTGGGTTTTGTAGCCTTAAATTTTATAGAAAATATAACGTATTATGTTTTGTAAACTTTTCTAGAAAACCAAGATTTGTATCAGAACCTAAAATAAATAAACCAAATAAACCATTTTAAAATATACGACTCATTTCAATTTTTCATTTTATTTTTTAGAAGAAGCATGCCATTGTCCAGTGAACCACGTCGGACGTTATATCTAAAATTTGAGAACATCACAGTGCTGCACAATGATCGGAAGATATTGGACAATGTCAGTGGGACGGCATGGTATGTTACGTTTATCTTTGACATATGAAAAAACTTGTTTTTATTAATAGCGGGATTTTTATTATATTACATTAGTCCTGGTGAAATACTGGCGGTAATGGGCCCTTCTGGCAGTGGAAAAACCACATTATTGGATTGTCTTAGCAGTCAGAGAAAAATCAGCAGTACTAGTCGAATATATGTTAATGGCGAACCACTGTCGAAGAAGTGGCGTCGCAAAATATGTTATGTTTTGCAAGAGGAGATATTCTTTTCTAGCCTCACACTAAGAGAAACAGTTACCTATGCCGCCCTACTGCGTTTGCCAGAGAAAATGCCCAAAGTTGAGAAGTTTGCAATGGTGGACAGCATCTTAGAATCACTCGAATTGACTTCCTGCCAACATACGAAATTCGGCGATTACATGAATCGAGGTTTATCTGGTGGCGAGAAAAGAAGAGCCAACATAGCGTGTGAATTGCTAACGAACCCCCTCCTGATGCTATTAGATGTAAGTATGACACCTACAAGCAGATGACGATTTTAAGACGATAACCTGGTTGTCGCTGTTTATTTTTTGCATTTCGTTTTATTGCAGGAACCCACATCTGGTCTAGATAGTCACGCCGCAATTTCTCTTCTGAAAATATTGAAACGTTACGCCATTCAAGAACAAAAAACAGTTGTGATAACCGTACATCAACCTTCGTCGGAGATGTTCCGCATGTTTGATAAGCTGTTGCTGCTCTATAATGGCTGTACAGCGTACTATGGCGGGGTGAATAACATTTACGAATACTTCCAAGATATCGGAGTGACAATAAAGCCGCACTACAATCCCGCCGAATTTGTACGTAAGTAAATGGATCATCAACGACGCTTGAAAAGTTGTAAAGTTCTATTTCTCATAAATATTCATAGGCATTTCATTTAAAATCGATAAGGAAGACATTACGCCAGTTGCAAAATATTTGGTTTAATGATTTATGGGTAATATTTAACCACCAATAAAGTATAGAGAACCTCATTCAAATGTAAAAATTAAAGACTTTGTCGTTAGAATATTCTCATTTAAAATCAAGCAAATCGGGAAGACATTTCAATGTATGAAATATTAAAAGGGAGGTTTGAAAGTACAATTCATGTACGTATGTGTAAAGAATATATTTCATTAGATTTTACATCGGAAGAGCTATGTAGCCTGTAGGGAAATGAACCAGTTTTAAATGAACTTTAAACTAATTTTAAAATAATCACAACTAGTCCCTTTACCGATTATTTTCCTTTAGACTAACTAACTATTTTAACATGGGGATGAGCTAGGCAATATTTCATGCCAGCATTTCTTTTAATCGATATATATTTAGACTATCATAGGTCCGCTACGTCGTTAGCGGATCTTTTTATAGTTGAAATAAATAAACATAAATTTAGCTACACTGAAAGATCCAAATCACACTTAAAAATTATATAAGAATCTAGATAGCTTTGTATTAAGTATAAATTTGAAACATTTTGAATAATGATAGATCCTTAAAATCTCAGATCTTAGTCTGCATTTCTTTCAAACAGAAACGTTGATGCTTCTATCCTGCTAAATCGAGTACAACTTACTTATATTTCTGAAAGTGTATATTAACATAATACTTTATTAAACCTTTTCTGTACATTTTAAAACATATTTCTGGAAATTATTTACGTAAAAATTTTTATTGGAATAGTTCCAGATAAGTTTTTAGTAACATGTTAATATCTTTATCCGTTCTACTGTACACGATATTTAGTACTTGTTAGCACCGTGAGAACAATTTACTAACCTTTTGGTGTATAATATACAAATCTACATACCGAATTTCAGAAGTATACTTTTTCTGACTCAATGCAATATTTTGTATTTTTGGCCTCTTGGAAATTTTTTTGCTCTAAATTTACATTTGCATTTTTACCATTCACCATTTAGACAATTTCCAAAAATATTTATGCACATTGCTCTATTTGTAATAGTAAAGCTACATACTAAATTTCAGATTTCAATCTCTAACTTTTCCATTATAATTTAATACTTTGTACCATTTTAGTACTAATTTCAAAAATATATTAATGTATAGCATAGTATTTGTAATAGTTAAATCTACGTACCGCGTTCCAGATTTTTATTTCTTCCGGTTCCATTATACTACAGTATTCAGTACATTTTAGTACTAATTTCAAAAAAAATAGAAATAGAGTAAGGTACATACCAATTTTCAGATTTCTACCAGTTCCGTTGTATTTTATTATTTAGAACTAATTTCCAAAAAATGTATTCGTAGTATTATATTTTTAATAGTTAAAGCTATATGCGAAGTTTCACATTTCTATCCGTTGGTTATATTGTAATATAATATTTATAACTTTTTAGTACATTTCCAAAATATATGTTTGCCCATCATTTTATTCGTAATGGCTTAAGTTACAAGCCAAATTTCAGATAGCTATTCCTACCTGTTCCATCGTAGTATAATATTTAGTACTTGTTAGTACCTTTAATACTAATTCTAAAAATTTGTTCGCACATTCTGATTCGCTTATCACTGTCAAATCTGCATAGCAGAGTTCTAATTCCAACCGTTCCGGCTTAATACAGTTTTAGTACTTTTTAGAACCATTTCAGTACTAATTCCCAAAAAATATGATTGCACCTCATTCTATTTGTAATTGTTTAAGCCAAATACCAAGATTCAGATATGTATCTCCACCCTCCTAAGGCTTGTTATAGTCGTGTTTTTTGTATTTTAGATCACTATTAATTATGTTATTAGCATTTTAGATCACTATTAATTATGTTAATAAATTGAATTGATTTTCAGTCGAACAATTAAAATCTAATCCGGATACACGTGAAAAACTTTTCATGGCCGCAAAGGAATCCTATAGCAATATTCTAAATCAGAATTGCTTGGCACAAAATGGTGTCATCAATACGAATGAAATTAACAGGATTTGTCCATCGGTGATGGTGTGCCACGAGGACAAGGATCAGCACAATGTGTTAATTAACGATATAATTCAGAACTATTACAACGATGTACATACAAATAGCAGCCGCCATCTACGCACCGAATCCAATAATTGCCACCTGGGTTTTAATCTTGAATCGTGCCAAAGAAGTTGCGAAGAAGCCACACAGCAATTGTGTCCCAGTGAACTACATTCGGATGCCTGGACAGTGCCAGTGGACAATGAGGACTGGCTCGACTACCCAACCAAATTCCATACCCAGTTCCGGGTGCTATCCAATAGAAACTTCAAGGAAGCCAAATCGCGAATGCTCTCGAAACTCAATTGGTTTCAAACTATCGGATTGTCTCTAATGACCGGTGTCATATGGTTTAATATTCCGCGAACAGAAGAGTACTTGCACGATCTGCAAGGGTGGATGTTCTTCTCGCAAACGTATTGGATGCTGTTTGCCTTGTTCGGTGCCTTAAACTCGTGTATGTTTGCACATAGACTATACTAGTTGTTGTCAATGTTAAATTAATTTGCTTTTATCCAAATTATGTCCAATTAGTTCCATCTGAGCGAGAGGTAATCAATAAAGAAAGACGTTCTGGATCATATAGGTTATCGGCGTATTACCTGGCCAAAATGTTCGGAGAGCTACCATTGGTTGTCACCCTGCCAACAGTCTATCTCTTGATATCGTACTCATTACTGGGTTGTTCAAGGTAAGTGTCCATATCCTGTAGAGGCATTTGGTTTTGATTTATTCCTAAAAGAAACTTCTCTTTGTGACTCAGCCTCAAACTGTTCCTTCTTATGCTGGTCTTCCTTCTGCTCAATACAATGGTAGCACAGAGTGTTGGCTTCTTCATAGGGGCCTGTTGTATGGACATGAATGTGAGTATTACGCTAAGTGCTCTTTACACACTGGCTACTCAACTGTTCGGAGGATTTCTGTCTACACGCATACCAGAATTTCTAAGTTGGATTCGGTATACCTCCATGGTACATTACGCGTATCAAAATATGCAAATTTTGGAATTTAGAGAAGGACCACCAATATCGTGAGTACACCAACAATAGCAATACACAGCAGTAAAACAACAGCATGTTATCCTACTATTTCAGGTGTAAAAAACCAAGCAGCTACGAAGCTTGCACAAAAAGCGATACAATACCGTACGAAGATATTCTTAGATCTCAGAATTTCACAACTCCTCTGTGGTTCAATACTTTGGTTCTACTCTCATTTCTGGTGCTATTTCGCGGTTTGGGATATACGGTTCTTCGATATTTTCGATGCCCCAGAACATGATGTCGGCAATAAAATTTAGAATCTAAGCATTTCACCATTATAAATAGAACAATTCAAGCGCCACATCTTCGCAATATTTCGATCCGATTATTAGTTGATTACTACATTTTAGGATTATGTATATTAAAAAAAAAAAAAATTTCTTTATTACGCCGTTTTTCACGTTTCATTTTCACGGGGTATGCATTTTTCTTAGTTATTTTAAACATACTTTTTCTAGTGTTTATTATTATACTGTGTTATTTTTATTTAATTATATTTTTATTATTGTTATTATTGTACATTTTATATCATAAAATAAGAATATTATTGCCGTTGGATACGGATATAGAATGCCTTTTATTGTCAAGCTGCATTTTAATCTAATGTGTATTACTTACATTGTAATTTTAAGGGTTTTTTTCAATAAAAATCAAATCTGAGCATTCAAATTGCACGAGACCTATAATTTAGCAACTCAACCATTGTATTATTTGTTCGGCTGTCAATGAATTAATCTGGGTAGGTAAATAATCATTATACACAGTATTAAATATAAAAATAACACTGTGCGACAAGGTTTTTATTGCACCAATTCTCTTTAGTTGAAGTCCCTGAACCACGAAAATACCGTTTGGTTTTTCCGAATCAAACAAATACATTCAGAAAACTTGAATATATTAGTGTGGACACCGTGATGTAGAATGATGTCAATATAGGTGATATTTTTTGATTTATTTACTTTATTATTTATTTATTACTGGATTAAATTTACATTTATTGTGCTCATTTATTAACTAAAATGTCTAAAATATGGTATGTAACTGGTATTTGCACCTAGTACCTCATAATTGTTCAATACAAAATCAAAGTAGAAAAATCTTGTTGTAAGATTGCTTCATTCTTAGTTAAACATTGTTTCAATGTAAATATTAAAATGAACTACCTTAAATTAATAACATTTACGTATTGATTCAAGAATAATTCAATTTCAATTAAAAGAGAATTTAGTATGAAAATATATTTTATATTTTTCAAAAACATTACACATACACTGGTTGCCAATACTAAAACAACTAAAATTGCAAAGATAATAAATGCCTCGTACTTTTTAATAATAAACATATCGTGCTGGTTTTTATATCCTTCACCACACTATTTCGCCCAAGGACGAACCCTATTGAAATTGGGAAAAATTGGTTCAGATTTGATATAGCTCCCATATATATTTTCGTCCGAATTTAGGTAAATGGTGCACCAAAGTCCCGATGTATCCTTCGATTTGCACGAAATTTGGAATAGCGTACACAATTAAGTCTAGATGATGTGTGTTAAGTTTCGTGAAAATTGGTTCAGATTTAGATATAGCTCCCATATATTTTTCGTCCGATTTTAGGTAAATAGTGCACCAAAATCCCTATATATCCTTCGACTTGCACGAAATTTGGCACATCGTACTCAATTAAGTCTAGAATGTTGAGTGTTAAGTTTCCTGAAAATCGGTTCAGATTTAGATATAACTCCCATATATATTTTCGTCCCATTTAATGTAAATGGTGTACCAAAGTCCCTATATATCTTTCGATTTGCACGAAGTTTGGTATAGCGTATTGAACAAAGTCTAGAATGATGTGTGTTAAGTTTCGTGCGAATCGGTTCAGATTTAGATATAGCTCCTATATACTGTTTTCTTCCGATTTTATGTAAATTGTGCACTAAAGACCCAAAATTTGCACGATTTCCACACAATTTTGTATAATGAACTGTAGTTAATATAAGTTAATCTCTGGCAAGTTTCGTTAAAATCGGTTCAGATTTTGATATAGCTTCTACATATATATTTTCGTCCGATTTTACACAAAATTCACAAACATTTTGCACAACGTACTGAAGTTAGTATAAGCTAGAAGTATAAGCTAGAATTTGCACAAAATTTTGCTCTATGTACTGAAGTTACGTGTGGCAAGTTTAGTTGAAATCGGTTTAGATTTAGATATAGCTCATATATATAGTTTCGTCAGATTTTAAGTAAAAGGTGCACCAAAGACCCAAAGTTAATTTTGTCCCGTTGTAAGAAGCAACTCTATATCTGACCAAATGAAAAAATTTGTATGGGTTGCAGAATGAAATAATTATGGATTCATTTTCATGTTAATGGTCCTTCAAAAATTCGACGTCTGTTAGGATTCATCTGTTGAATATACCCATAGTGGTGAAGGGTATCATATAGTCGGCCCCGTCCGACTTTACTGCTTTCCTTACTGGTTTAAATTTAATTTGCTACTAAATATTTGTTGTAGCATATCTTCAGGCGGTCGATTGATTTTAATGGTTGTTTTTGTCCCGACCATCTGCCAAGTTTTTTTCTAATAATATTTCAAATATATCAATAATGTCAAAAATAAATATTTTATTATATATTTTACGTTTACTTTTTGAAAGTTGTTCTGAAAAAGGAGAATGGAATGTTTCAGTCAAATTTAAATACCAATCAGGGTTCGATTAGAAAAGTCTCTAAATGAAGAGCTGGAGATCCTGGTTACAACGATATAATCATGGTACAATTATTCAAGCTATGCCATAGCAACGTATAAGTTTTTTTTTTGTCATATTGTGGCAAGTTGTGCCAAAGTCGTATATAAAATGTGTGACTGTATGTGTAATATTTTGAAAAATATATTCTAACATCCATTTGTTTACAGATTAATTTTACAACATTGGTAAAAGGGAAGTTATGATTTGTGGATGAATTAATATCTAAATCCATGGTTTAATTACACAAGGTAGTCTCATAATTCCATTTTTTTTCTTAATTTTACTTTTGACAAAATTCAGCTTTCAAAATTGAAATAAAAATATCCTACGCGTTCAGTGGCAATAATTGCAAAATGTAGCATCTGTAGATATAGCTTAAGAACAATGTGGATCAAAAACCAGTAAGGAAAGTGGTAAAGTGGGCCGACTATATGATACCCTTCACCACTTTGGGTATATTCTACATATGTATCCTAACAGACGACGCGTTTTTGTTATATATCTCTATCTGAACCGATTTTAGGGAAACTTGCCAGAGACTAATTTATATTACATCAGTACGTTGTGTCAATCGGCCTAGCATGGATCTTTTCACGAAGCTTAGCGACATCAATCTAGACTTAATTCAGTACCCTATACCAAATTACATAAAATCGGACGAAAAAATATATGGGAGCTATATCTAAATCTGAACCGATTTTCACGAAACTTAGCACACGTCACTCTAGACTTAATTCAGTACGCTATGCCGAAATTCATGCAAATCAAAAGATTTCCAAGGACTTTAGTGGACTATTTACCTAAAATCGGGCGAAGCAATATATATATATGTGAGCTATATCTAAATCTGAACCGATTTTCACCAAACTTTGCACACATCATTCTAGACCTCATTCATTAAATCGACTCAGAAAGTGATTCTGTGCATATTCTCAAAAGGAACCATGGAACTATCTCGATTATTTTTGCCTGTTACAAACATATGCACAAAGGCATAATACCCTGTACCACAGTGTGGTGAAGGGTATAAATATAGATATTTACATTAATTTTATTGACTTCAAGTCCGGATTAAAAATAAGTATGTCTGTACATAGCATATATATTTATATGCAATTATAAATAGAATTGTCCATCTTAAATAACTTAAAATATTTGGAAAATATACATTTTTAATTTTTTAAAAAATATGCCAAACGACATTCATAAAATTTTATTGAATTTATAAAAGGTAAAAGCAAATCCCAGCTGATTTGATTCCAACGTAATACTATTGTCAATATGAATTTGACAAATTATATTTTTAAGGGCCCCATACACTACACATCATTCCGAACAGCATTTATCATAGTATGTGTTATTTTTTGAAAGTTTATTTATATATGGGTGACACACACAATGCATGAAGAAAATCAAAATAGTTTTGATTTTGAAAATGAAACCCTATCAAACTGGTGAATAATATTCATTTTGAAAGTTGTCAGTAAATAATTTTGTGTACAAAAAATAAACTGTGACGAAATAAAAAACAACTTAATTTACGACTCAAAATTCATTTTTGGGACAAAAATCGATTTTTTGGAATAGTGTTTGCCATACACTAGTCAATCTCACATATACAACAAGGGGTTCATCGGCATGACGGCATGATGTATAGTGTATGGGGCCCTTAAAAATCACCCAACAGGAATATTGGGAACGCATACAATTCGAAATTGTTCTTTATTAAATGTGCTCCCGTATAAAATTTCCTCAATCTGCCTGCTTGGAAAGTTTGAGGAAGTAAATCTTTTTCCATTGAATAACTCGCAATTACCTGCATTTTCATATGTGTTACACATATAAGTGGCAATGGCTCAATTATAGGAAAGATGTGGAAGCGATAGAAAAATAAATTTGATAGATTCTCATTCATGATTTAAAATTTTTTTTTTTGAGGATTCGAAAAAAAAAATTTTCAAAATATATTTTACATTTTTTGTTTAAATTTTTTTGTTTACAAATTTCCATGTATCGTTTGTTGTACAACAACACTTGCTGTTACCTTCTATTATATTTTACACCATGTTTTTCAAACAATTTGAAATTGATAGATGAATTCCAAATTAAAAAGGGTTCCCATTATTAATTTCTCAAATGAGACTACCTTCTGTAATAATGCCATGATCTAAATCATATTCCCAAATCGATTTTGAATTGAAACCAAGACATTCCATTCATGACTTGTTCCATTTGTTTTTATCAATCAGCCCAGTGAAATTGACAATTGGAGAAAAATAAAAATACTTTTTTTGATATTTTTTCCAAGACAATTTTCTTCCCGAGGCGAAAACTAAATGTTTCGCAATTAAATAAAAACACAACCAAAACACAACACAATTTATAATTTGTAGGATAATTTACTTGAAAATCTTCTTTAAACTCTTGAAAAAGTCCAAATGTGCTTCACATGGACAATATAAATGTAAATTGAATTGAATGTTGACAAAATATTAATATTTTCGTTTTGACGTCTAACATAATTTTGTATGTATGTATAGGTTTCAAAATATGAATTGACAGATAACTTTATACTCACCTGTGCTTACTGTCCGACCTTATAGGCTTTGATATGTCATGGTCCAAATATCAGGTCATCCAAAAGTGCGAATTCGTTCAAAAGTACAACATTGCACCTACATCTATTGTCAAAAGTTGTACTTGAAGCGAAAATCCTTTTTGGAAATTATTGCTTATTTTCCACATTTTTAAGCGTGCACTACACAAATTGGTCACCATGTACTATTTTCGTAAATAATTCAATTGTTTTTTTTTTCCATGATTTGAAATATATTTCTCATATTTTAACAAATTAATTTTTGAATAGAAAATCCGTTTCGACATTTTTGTGTATGTATACTATGGTTTTTATTAAAATTCAAATTAATCAATCAATCAAACGAATTGCCAGAAAATTGCCGTTACGAGCAATTTTTTTTTTCAATTTCTTTTCCCCTTGCCCCTCTCTTCAGCAAACAAAGACTTGCCGCAAGTAAACTCGCCTAATCTAAATTGAGACTATACTCAAAAATATTTACTGTCAACTTTGAAAATAAATAAAATTCAGCAGATTGAAAGGGTTTCATTTTCAAAATCAAAACTATTTTGATTTTCTTCATGCATTGTGTGTGTCACACATACATAAATAAACTTTCAAAAAGTTGCACTATGATAAATGTGTATGGCATTATGTATAGTGTATGGGGACCTTAAGTATTCTCTATGAATTCACTTTCTGGACGACCTTGAATCAAGGTAGATATTAATATACCTTGCCTTCATTCGTATTAAGTTTACTGTCAACGTATATTTCGAAATCTATGAATACATACAAAATTTATTTTCTTGTTAAATGAAAACATTACAAACCATTTTAAAATAAACGAATGATTTAATTTTTACCGGCTTTGTGAATACATGATTTGTTTTCGTCGTTGGATAACAGAAATTTGTTCGACCGGCAAAAAAATGATTGACATTAAACTTAATAGAAACATTTGATCAAGGTTTACTCATAACAACGTTACCTTTAATTCCACGGAGCGTATAAAAATATTCAATTTCCCCTCTATGGCAAAATTTTGTGTACGGCCGTATTACCCAAATACGTCGAGTTTATATCTTCAGGGAAATAATATCAATATTACAACAAAATTGAAAAATTATAATATTTACCAAAATATTTTATATTCTAATTCAAAAATTCATATGTTCATCTTGTTTTGCTTTTATTTTTAACAAACGAAAAAAGCACATAATACGTTCTGTCATAGTTGAATTTGTTCAACTTTGAAAATTCGTACGTCGACGTATTTCGGTAACTTTCATATAAATACATGTGTTCTACTTTTGTGGCGAAAAACGTCCAACGAGCTAGTTGAATTTTAGGTACGGCTGTAAGGTTAAAAGGGAGGCGTATTCAAAGTCTTCATTGACTGTCAAATTTATTGTTTGAAGAATAATCAAAAAATATTTTTATTCGAAACAAAATATTCGTGCACAATGTTATAAATACGTTTTTTTTGAAGTTATTTGAATTTTTATCCTGTTCTGGTTTTGTATTTCGCGATTAAAAAGGTTGACGGCAAGAGAAGACTAAGGCACGAATTTTTTCACTTCCACTTACATTTTTCACTTTCACTTACATTGAAATGCCAGTTTTTAAAACATATACATATGTAATTACTTTGGATATTGAATTGTATTTGATCAAAAAATTCATAAATTTTAGTCAGTGTCCATTGATTTGCCTTTGGTTTCTTTAAGAAACACGAATAAATACAGGTAACTGGTGGCACAAACCAGAGCACATGACCACATCGTGACAGATATACCAAACGAATCCATATAGAGTGGAAAGATTTTGAGCATTGCAAACACCAGTAAACTTAGAATGGCCATAGAGGCTGACGCACAAATTGGTCGAATCTGAAAGCAAGAGAATTTGCATAGCGCACTGAAATATGTCTTTAAACATGTATACATACATACCTTAGAGGGAAATATTTCGACCAACACAACAAATGTTAAGGCTATCAATCCCATATTGCCAATAAACGATACAAACGACATCAGCAACAGTGGTACAAACGAATACTGGGATAGATCCATTGTTTGGGCGTAATGTGTAAATACTCCGAAAGCAGCCAATCCCACTGCCATGCCACCAGTCGACCATAGCATTAGAATCTTACGTCCAAATATATCGACTAGTAGGGTTGCTGCGTACGTACCGGCAATTTGTACAACACCCATTATTATTGTACACGTATTAGGATCCATAGTGGAACCTGAATTTGAAAATATGTCTGACATATAGTTCACAAAGGCAAATATTCCACTGAATTGGTTTACGAATAATAGGACAGCTGCTGTTGCAAAACACTTCAGGGCGTCTTTTGTCACTGAAAACAAACACATACTCTCACATCAGCATATTATCAAACTAATTGCAGGTTAATTACACTCAAACTCACCAAAGTCCTTAAAAGCCACTGATCCCTCATCGTTTATATTTTCAATAATCGATTTAAGGTGGTCAAAGTTGAGGCGACAATTTAATTTGGTTTTTATATTGCACATTTGGTAAAAATAGAATGACTTCTCGGCGTCCGCATACCTCTTCTTTCGCAATAAATGCTGTGGGGTTTCGGGTAGGACAAATGCCAACAGCAAATACACAACTGGCAGTGTCACAATGCAGAACGGTATGATGTGATAGGCCACATGAGTGCAAATTATGAACCCAATCAGAATGCCAGTATTGACCGATAACATGAGCATAGTTGCCAGTGTTCCTCTTATGCTGAAATAAAAAAATCGATCGTGTATTTTTAACATTATATTTTCAAATCATATAATGTTAAAAATGGTGAAGGAAGTAAATAAATGTTTATGACATGAGTAGATTTTTAGCTATTGTAAATAACGTAAATATTTATCTAGAAGATAGAAATAAAATTGCGTCAATCTCGACCAGACTGAACTTTAAATAAACTCTACCATAAATATATGTCCTAACGCTCACTGCTTATAAAAAACCACTGGAAATGTAGTTAAATGCTTCAATATGTCAAAATCCGATTATAATAACTATGCAACAGCCAAAATCCTTCGATTTTCTATTAGGCACTTGACAACTTGGAATCAAATTTAGAATAATCATCATCGACTTGTCACGGGCAATTTACTAAGTAAACCTAACTTTTCCATCAGGGTAGAGTGTACGAAAGTAAAACGTCGTATAACAAATTATTAATGAAATGACGGAGAGTTCGATATTAAAAATGTGACCAGAAGGCCTATTCTGTAACTTTTTAACAACATTCGACATTGTTTATTTTACAACAATTTCATTTGTTTGTTTTGTTGTTTTTACAATAACAAAAGAAAATTAAACAATATCGAATGTTGTTAAAAATTACAGAATAGGCCTACAGAAGGCCTATTCTGTAACCTACAGAAGGCCTATTCTGTAACTTTTAACAACATTCGATATTGTTTTATTTTCTTTTGTTATTGTAAAAACAACAAAACAAACAAATGAAATTGTTGTAAAATAAACAATGTCGAATGTTGTTAAAAAGTTACAGAATAGGCCTACAGGACTCTCAATTAAACTATAATTGGTTAGCACCGTTACGAGCAGGCTATACCAAAAAGATTACCTAATCAAAATATTTCATTGGAAGATCTCATATTTCAACTCACTTGGTGTCTGCAATCTCACTAATAAATAAGGGAAAAACCACATAGCAACCACCTCCAGTCAATCCTCCAAGGAAACGGGCAATCATTAGATATTCCACGCTATTTGCGAAGTATATAAGAATCCACAAACACTGGAATCAACAAAAAACAACATCTTCAATTTCATAAAATCTAATGATAAAAGAACATACTCACTATATGGGGCGGAGCTAAAACATATATACAAGCTTTTCGGCCGATTTTATTTTGTAAAAATCCAATAATAAGATTTCCGCATACACTTCCCAATCCCAGTAATGAACCAATCCATGACGCATCTTCTACAGATACATTAAAATTTAAGGGAGTTGTATCCGACTGCAATTTCGAGAGAGTTGGTGACAGCCACCCCAAGCCGATGCCATGCGAAAAGGTAAGAATGCACACTTAAGGGAAAAAAACAAAAGATATCAGATTAGATTACTCATCTATTTTATAGACGCTTGCACTTTGTTAAAAAATGCGTGTAAATGTGGTCACTTGTAATAAACTCAAAAATTGCTCTTCCTTCTTTTAAAATATAGTATTTTTACAATGACCATCACTGAGCAAATTTCCATGGATGAATATTATGTTTTTCTTGTTTTTGTTTTGTAATGAACCAGAAGGAAACTGTCTAGCTCGTTCTTCCCAATTCTTTTTTATTACATTTTTGACCTTTTTAATACCCACCTGTCAGTGTTGCTAAAACCTGATGTCGAAAACGATTATTCAAAATACTATTTGAATTGCTAAGTTTAGCCATGGCCTCTGTCTTCCATGTGGTTAGTCCCTATAATGACACAAAGAAAATGTAAGTATATCTGAGTAGATGTGGATCTCTATGATTATTAACTGACAGGTTTCGTGGCACTTTAATGGCCCTAAACTTGGTTATTGGTGTGTTAGTGTGTGTCTTCAAGATATATGCCAAAGCATCCTCGTAATTGTTGAAATATTAGGATGTGCCGGAAACATTTTTGTTTTAATAAAACAATATATTTTTTCGAGCTTGAGGTCTTTTTTATTTTTCAGGATCAATATTTCGCAATTGTTTTAAATTGCATCTTCAGGATAATCTACAAACAATTTTGAAATTAATGGCATTAATTATACAGAATGAAGTGACACAATCGCTTACAAATAAACTAGTGTCGAGTTTACTTAAAACTATGATAGACTTCACTATCGTCGTCGGATGTAAATATTGCACTGAGTTTATTTTAGTTTATTGCACGATCTCTCTTTCTGTGTAAGGTGTCTGTAACAGTAAGCTGCGTTGTCTGTGTCGCTCTTAAAATTAATTCTCTTTGTTGTTGGTAGGTTGTTTATGTGTAGCATTTCCAATGTAAGTCTCCTATTGTAATTGTTTTCTGTTTGAAGTATTTGTACTTTATCAAAGTTTGGTCTATGGTTGTTGTTCCTACAGTGTTCTGCAAGTGCTGTTTTTTGTGTATTATTCTGATTCCTTAATTTAATGTCAGATTTGTGTGCCGATAATCTGGTTTTTAATTTATTTTTTGTGGTTCCAACATACACCTGTTTACATTTTTCTTCATCGTTTCCATCACATTCTATTTTATAGATAACATTGTGTTTTTCCAATTTTTGTATCTTGCATTTTTGTTTTATTTGAAAAAAGTTCAATTGTCCACATTAATATCAACAACATTGTCAATGTTGTCTTCAATACATGGTATAATAATAGAAGGTAACAGCAAGTGTTGTTGTACAACAAACGATGCAACAACCACATGGAAATTTTTTGTTGTAAGTTATGCTAATGTCAACGTCATTTGACAGAAAAATGTAAACAAACACACAAATTATATTTATTTTGAAAATGAAATATTTTCGAATCTTCAAAAAAAAAAAAAAAAAACGTTGAAAAACGTGAATGAAAATTTATCAAACTTATATTTCTATCGCTTCCACATCTTTCCTATAATTGAGCCATTGCCACTTATATGTGTAACTCATATGAAAATGCAGGGAATTGCGAGTTATTCCATGAAGAAAGATTTGCTTCCTCAAACTTTCCCAGCAGGCAGATTCAGTAAATAGTGTACGGGAGCACTTTAATAAAGAACAATTTCAAATTGTATGCGTTCCAAATTTTCCTGTTGGGTGATTTTTAAAAACATATTCATATTGACACTAGTATTACGTTGGAATCAAATCAAAGCTGGGTTTTGCTGTTACCTTTTATAATTGTACCATGTCTTCAATATTTTCTTAACTATGTTATTAGCGATTTCTAACATAATTGACATTTGCGATTTCACTATTCAATTCGATACACACCAATATGCATATATGTCTGTTTTTATCCATTTTCAGAAAACATTGACAAATTTGTTTTCGTTTCTCATTAACTTGAAAAAATTGCTAGTCATAAAACCATTGGCTGATAAGAAACTTAATCTGGCATTGTTGTCACACTATGACTGTCACATTTTTCAATTCATAAATCTCGCTAGGCCACCAACAGAGAATGGTTAGAAAGCCCATTAGGTATGCGGTTATTTTGCGATCATGAAATCTACATTAGATATGAAATTTGTAAACATGTAAAAAAACTACTTCTACTATAGAACAATTGACAATTATCAAAAATGATATTTTAGTTTGATCAACCTGTAGGAGCATATCTAACATAAAAGTACATACTATTTGTAAAGGGTGTAGTTCGTTAATGCAAAAATCAAGTGCCAAATGAGAAAGTATTTGGAATTATTCCGCGGAGTTGTATCCGACTGCAATTTCGAGAGAGTTGGTGACACCCACCCCAAGCCGATGCCATTCGAAAAGGAAATAATGCACACTTAAGGGACCCCACCCCCTCTCGATTTTTTATTTTTAAAATTTTAAATGGGCTGGAAAATGAATACCAATGCTTGTTAAAGTTTGTAACATTGCACATATATATTTGAAGATTTAAAAAGGAAGAAAAATAATTTACAAAATTTTTTGTTGTTGTTTTTGTGATCAAAGAAAAGTCCTTATTTTTGATGGCGGGCATGATACTCCTCACTGGAACATCGGAATCCGAAAATTCAAACGGTGTTGGAAAGAGTACTTGTCTGGCTCTCGTATGAACTAGGATTATTGACTTCGCACAACAATTAACAAAATGGCGGATCTTTGAAAAATGTTTTTTTGAAAAATCGCCTATTTTTGACCACAAACTAGGTTAAAAAATAAGGAAGATCTTCACCGATTGGCTTTATCCTAGTTCATACAAGAGCTATACACTCTCAGAGAAACGTGTCAAAATTTGGGACCGATTGGATTTTTAGTTTTTGAGTTATCGTGTCCGCCATTCGCTTCGAAGAAAAATGCGTTTAAAGTTTGAGAATCACTCTTGCCGTCCCTTGATGCTGACACAATAAATCGGCTATATCTTCAATAATTTTTTTATTCAAAATACAGTACTTTTACAATGACCATCACTGAGCAAACTTCCATGGATGAATGTTTTTCTTTCTGACCCAAAGTCTTTACTAATTTGTATGATCTGTAGAAAAATAGAAACAGCAGTCACATGTTAAGATCGTTTCCAATTTGTTTGTATTTTCTGCGTTCTAAAGGGATAATAATGTAATTTTAAATTATCTAATCTCACAAGTGATTAAGCTGGGTCTGAAAAGGGTATACCTATATCCGAAAGACGATTTGTGCACGAACGTTAGAACCGTAGAGATTTTTCAAATATAACATTCGTTAAAATAGCTACTCATGTTTACTTCAAATCATTGCATAATTACACAAGGTAGTCTCATGTAGACATATGTTTCCAATTTTTTCATAAATTTGCTTTTGACAACATTCAGCTTTCAAAATTTAAATGAAAATACCTTCCTTCGAAATGTACGCACATCATGTGTTCAGTGGAAAAAATTGCTAAATCATTTATATGTATTAATATTTTGAAGTTCCGGCCTCTAAAACCGGGACACCCATGGTTAACAACACCCATGGTTAAATCTTGAGGCCAATGCGCAGCTTTAGAAAAAATATATATATTTTTATAATTGACATAGAAGCTTTCTTTGTATTGAATAATAAAATAAAATATTGAAAATATGCAAATCGACATACATACTCAGTTTAACGAATTCGGGTTATAACGAATGAGCAAAATAGTCGACTTTTTACATTGACTATCACATATAACGAACGTTTTCCAAATTTATATACTGGGTACAACGAATGGGTCAAAAAATAATGGACTAACGATATAAAAATATGTAAACAGGTTCTGTTACAGTTATTACGTTAGTATATTTTTTGTTAGAAATTCATTGAAAAGTGGATAAGTTTTTTTTTTAAATAAAATTGCACCTTAAAAAACTTCGCGATATAACGAATTTTCCGCTATAACAAATAGGCCTGACAATATATTCGTTATACCTGGCGTTGACTGCACGGAGGAAAAAAACGCCTCTCTAACATATGTCCCAAACATATATTGCAGCAAACATATATATGTTTGCAACAGTCCCAAACATAACATATGTTTGGGTCCCAAACATAATATATGTTTGCATCCAAACATATTTATGCTTGCATCCAAACTTATTTATGTTTGCATCCAAACATATTTATGCTTGCATCCAAACATATATACGGGCATGTTCTGGCATTCACTTCAACGGCAGAAGTGTATCGAACACACGCCGAGGTGTTCTGTAACACACTTTACACCCATTTGAGGTGTATTCTTTACACTTACATTTCCATAGTGAGAGTCGGGTGTATTCCTGTTTTTTTCATATAAAAGAACATCTTTTTTGGAATAAAAAACGCACATGATGATAGATTGATATGTTATTATTGCGTATAATTTGATTAAAATCACAAAATGAACATAAACACCATTAAAAACAAATTTTAAATAGATACTTGAATTTTCTTCAACTGAATGTCTTGCTTGACACAAACAGCTGATTTGATGTAAGGCCGAAAAAGATAGGGTTACCAAATGTTCCCCCTAAATCAATCAACAATTTAATGATATTACAGAGGTTTCATACATATATTTTATGTTGCGAATAATAAAATATTAAAAAAAATAATAAAATTGTCGTTAGAATTAACGAAATTACTAAAAAATTACAGAAGCAATGCTAAAAACGAATACAGTTTATATTGTATGGCAACAATATTTCTGCAAAGTACCATGTCGACGTTTATTTTTGTCGCAGTTCAAAATTTCAATTCACGTGAGAAGCAGAACAGGAGGTAATTTCTGAGGTGAAGTGTATGTGTTATGTGAAAAGAACACACCGTGAGTTCCAGAACATACCCGATATGTTTGGATATAAATAAATAAATTTTAGGTGTATTTGTATACTTACGCCATATATAAGGAAAATCAAATTTTAAATAAATTCATATCTTATACATAGTTTATTTCAAATATATATATATATATATATATATATTATTTTAATTATAAACATAAATTTACATATATTAATATGATTATAAGTATCTATAAACTTATATATATATATATATTAAAATATAAATAGACACACTATATATATATATATATATATTTCAATGTCTATTTATATTTGAATTTATTTATTTACCTTTATATCTATATTAACATTTTGTTGGGGTTGTCTTTCATTCGTCAATTATGGCCTTTGAGATATTTTATTTATATCTTATTAAATCGTACAAAACCTATATGAAAATAAAATATGTAAATATATTATTCAAAAAAATAATAAATGCAGTATTCTTACCTCCAAT